TCAAAATCTCCCCTCCCCCTACCGCATCCCAAAGCCAGTCCAGCTCGTCCCTGCCTCCCTAACCTGTTCTTCCTCCCACCTATCCCCTCCTCCCACCTCAAGCCGCACCTCCATCTCCTACCGACCAACCTCATCCCGCCCCCTTGACCTGTCCGTCCTCCCTGGACTGACCTATCCCCTTCCTAACTCCCTACCTACACTCACCTTTACTGGCTCCATCCCCGCCTCTTCGACCTGTTTGTTTCCTCTCCACCTATCCTCTCCTCTATCCATCTTCTATCCGCCTCCCATTCTCTTCCTATTTATTTCAAAACCCCCTTCCCCTCCCCCTTTTCTGATGAAGGGTCTAGGCCCGAAACGTCAGCCTCTCTGCTCCTATGATGCTGCTTGGCCTGCTGTGTTCGTCCAGCCCTGCACCTTGTTGTCTCGGAAATAAAACCACCCCTTCATTCAGACTAAAGTAAAACAAAACTGTGGATGCTGGAGATCTGAAACTGTTTCTCCAGCAATTTCTGTCATTTATTCAGACTGTTGATGACAAATGACCTGAACAACTGTAGATTACTTGACCTTAAAGATACAATCCAGGATAACAATTAAATCTTATAACTTCAGTCTATCTATTAGCACATTTCCAGGAAATAAACTAATAAAAATTCAGCTGATGAAGACATTGACACATTTTCTGTGCTGCAGTACATGTGATTTGCACATTCAAAACAAGTCTGCAGCAAGAGCAAGTTGAGCAGAAGTTTATAAATGTCAAAGCCAATAATAAAGCAGAACAAAGTCAAAATTGTTGGCAGTCCTGATGTAGATTTCACTGAGCGCGCTAAACTATTAGGGGATCCAGACAAATCTCCTTGTTACCTGCTTGCCAAGGACGGAATATAACTAATAACTTGAGTTGTATCAAAAATGTGTTTCTGTCACAGCACATCCACGACATTTTGCCTTTACAAATGAATTGCAGTTTTCTAACTGCTCCCTTTAACAATGCCACATTTCTATCATTTTCAAGGACATGCTGTGCATCTTCATGAAGAAAATATAATATTAGCTACAGTGAATAAAGAAACCAATTGCAGTATTCCAGGGATTTGTTTTATATATTCCACTGTTGAAATACTGCATGCTTATCAGTAATTTTATTACGCTAAATTTCCATTCCATCCAAATTATTTTCGTTCCCTCAGCATTTATCAAATTTATATTATAAGAGGCAACAAAATTCAGCTCTGTTGCACCTACTGTTTGGTGCTGCAGCCACTGTTCCAAAATGGTGGCCATGGCCAGCACACACATAGCTGAATTTGTTTGGCAGCAGTTGTAGCCTCGATGGCAGGCTGTTTCTAGGACTCTGATGTAGTTCTAGCCCATTGACCAATTATTTGCCTCGTTTTGAGACTTCTGTCTCTTTAAGGGTGATGGTCCTGCCTCCAAGAGCTGCTGGCCAATTTTGGAGGACAAGCAGTTCTTCAATCCCAGCAGCATTTATTACTAATGGTGGCCCCTCCAGTACTGCGGTTGACTGACACCTACAATCACAGATGGGACCTTGAAACCAAGGTAAAAGGATTGAGCTTGCCCAGGCCAATCAGGCCCTTGCAGTTGGTGGAAGAGTAGGGGATGATGGGAGGGATGATTGAGAATGGCTGCACCAACAGTGCCAATTTTGACCTGGTTGCTCCAGCCAACACCCTCACTTAACCTCATGCAGCTGCACATACATTCAGCAGCAGGAAAGTGCCTTCTACTTAACATTTCTTCACAGATGAAGATTTGAAGAAGGTTGTACTCGTCAGTTGCAGGTTGTCAATTGTTAGCCAGGCCTTTCTGTGACCAGCAAACTCTCCTTCTATGGGTGCAAGTGAAAGCATTGTTGCTGTTGACATTTGGATATATCCTTCTCCTTGTTTTCTCTGCGTCTTCACTTGGTCTCATTGATTTTTGTACCACTCCTGATGTAGCATGTCCCCGCATCATGATCTCACCACTGGTAGAGCTGATGTGGCACACAGAGAGGGACTTGTTTAGTGAGTCCTTGAAACATTTTGTTTGGGGCCCCTCTGCCCCATTTACCAGTGATGGGTCCTCTGTACAAAATAAGCTTGGACAGATGACTCATTCATTCAAACACAACCCATACAAAGCAGTTGGCTTGGCAGGAGGACACCTTTTGATGCTTGTGATGTTGGCTGTTTCCAGGGCTTCAATGTTTGTAATGTGGTCATTCTAGTGGATCTTGAGGACACTGCAGAGGTAACAGTGAATGAAATGCTCTATATGGTGCATGTAACCGTGGTATACAAGCCATGACTCTGTGTTATACAGAAGGATGGTGAGCACTACGACTTTCTACATTTTTGATTTCTATCTGTGCTCTGAGACTCCATTTGCCCCCACTTGTTTATAGAGTTGTTTGCTTTTGAAAGCCAGTTGTCAAACTGCTTGCCAATGGCGGTGTCAAACAAGACTGTCCAGATAGATAAATTGATTCCAGCTTGGTTCTCTCAAAGACAGTGTTTGGTGTTCTGTATTCTTCTTCTTGGGGTGCAGGCTGATGCAGGACTTCAGTTTTACTTTAAACTGGTTTTTAGTCTAAACAGTTGTGCCAGCATAGAAAAGATGATGTCATACATGGCAGATTTAACTGACTGTAAGAGCACAGTCAACAGTGAAAAGAAGTTCATGGAGTTTTTTTGTGTTGCCGTGGGGACACCTGAGACTGAAAAGACCTCCATCAGTTCAGAACCGTACATAACCTCCCTCCTCAAGGTCTTCTACTGCCTGCTGTAGCATGATGCTGAAGAAGATGATGAATAGGGTTGGGGCCATCACACATTCCCACTTCACACCACTGGAGCTTCAGAGGGGACATGAAAAGTTGCTGTTGTGTTTGACTGTCCATACTGACATTCGTGATATTGCTTCACTATGGCCAAGAAGTTGGATGGGCATCCATATCTTACAAAGATTTTTGAAAGTCCATATCTGCTCACAGTCATAAATGCCTTGGTGAGGTCTATGACCATGATACCAGACCTTCATCTTGGTCATGTCACTTTCTTGTATTTGTCAGAGAGTTCATAGCTTGCAGAGTTCATAAGAGTTGTCTAGAGTTGAAGTTGATGGAGTTGTGTTGCATCAGGAGATGACCTTGCTTTTGACTTCAAGACTTCTGGTCAGATTGCTTACTTCCAGACATGGGTTTCCATTCCCTTTGGCCTGCCAAATGAGAAACAAATGGACCACAGGCAGCATTGAAATAGACAAGCTGCTCAAAGAGCAAGGAAGAGGAGTAAAGGGCTTTCTGCAGGATGTATCCATCCATTCACTTTCAGGATAACATAGACGATCCATAAACGAAGATATATTTAGGTACATTACAAGATCTATTGAAATTGTAAAACGTGAAAAGAACAGACCGCCTGGCCCCTCAAGCCTTTCCACTATTCAATACAATCATGGCCAATCTTCTGCCTTCACTTCATTTTCCCATTTATTCTCCATATTCCTTAATTCCCTGCTATATTGAAAAATATCTATCCCAGCCTTGGATATATTCAATGATGGAGAATGCAGAATCCTCAGTGAACAGAATTACAAGATTCACTGAATAAGAAATTTCTCTTTTTCTCAGTTCTAAATAACCCTGAGACTGAGCCGCCATCTTCTAGAATCTCAAGTCAAGGGAAACAACTTCTCTGTGTCAATGCAGTAAAGCCCTGTCAATCTTGTATTTTCAATGAGATGATTTTTTTTTTAATGCCTAAACTCCAGAGAATACAGGAGAAAAGCACAACTGCTAGGTTGTGTGAGGGACATTCTCTAACCTTAGCCCTTCATTTTCCAACTAATAAGGAAAGCCGCATAGTCTCTACAGCAATTCTAACTGAAACCTTCTCAGTGATTTATACATAATTAGCATTGCATCTTTCCCATATTTATGATTTCTAAGAATTCATTAAAGGGATGAGGGAATATTCTCTGTGGTTGTACTGGATAACTTCAGCTCCACCACTGGCCACAGGAGGTTTAGCTGTGGCCATTCCTTTTGATCGCTATCACAGTTTTGTTCATGTGGGTGAGGATATGCTTGTTCTCCCACTAGGTACTAAAGCCTTTGGTAATGTGCCACCTGCAAAAGAGAGGAAAAGTGTCAGTGACTGTGGTGCAATGTGATTTGGATGATACATCTGCTAGAATTGAATAGCTGGCAATCTGTGCAAATTGTGAGATATAGGTACGAGGCTTGCAACAGTGCCATATGTGTGAGGTTGAGGTGAGATGATGGATGCTGGATAGGAGTTATGCTTGATAGTGAATGTCAGGTGATTGAATTGAGCAGTGTGTGCACCTAGTGATTCGTCTGTGAGAAGATGACATTTGAAGCTGCGTTCACTAATCTTGATGTTCATGTGAATTCATTAAACTTTTTCCCACTACATTCAAAGTCTCAGAGCTAGATTCCTTGTGTTAACAGTGATGTCTATCTGTTCCCACTGTCTTCCCAGTATCTGTTCAGAGGGCCTTCTGTGGGTAGAAGAGCTCTCTGCTCCTATCCAACTCCTGCATAAACAGGTTCAGTATTATATCAAAGAACCTTGGGACACGTGCTGTGATCTACTGCACCATTTATACCGTTCTGCTCAGAATGTCTTTCCCAGTCACTTGCAGCAGCCATAAAATATGCCATTGGGCTTTAACTAGTGCAGGCTTGTTTTAAGTTGTTACAATTATGACATTTATAAGATTATGTTTGAGACTGTGCCTCTAAATTTAGGGTAAAAACAGAGGGGGTCATATGACCTGATTTGAAGTCTGCCAGAGAGGATAAGCTTGTGTTGTTTTACTGTAATGAAATTGCAAGGCATTTATGCTTGGGAGCATTGGTTGCATCTCTGTGATTCACAATGTAGACTGAGCCTTCAAAGTCCCAAAAATGGTGTTGAGAACATTGCATTGTAAACAGATATGCCTTAAACTGTTAAATTGCTTCCAAGATTGAATATAGTTGAGCTTGCAAGAATTGCCAGGAAACATTTCTACCTAGATACAAAGCCCATGTGATTCATGTTAACACAAAATAATATACAGGCAGCCAGCATAAAGATCAGGTAACAAGTTTTCCTAGAATGTCACAGGTAGTCTTTTTTAGACTTTCTTGATCCAGGAGATAAAGTGCAGGGACCAAATATAGAATATAGAGACCAAAAAAGTTCTCTAATTTTGTTCACAGAAAATGGGTGAGAGCTCCAGCCTGGATTGAAAAGACTAACTTGATAGGGAATTTAAATGAGGCTGGAAGGATTACATTGCCTGGGGTCGGGAGAGTCTTTGAGTTAAAGAAAACCCCACTGTGAAAGACAATTGTAAAATTTCAAACTACCAAGCTGAGAAAAGAACAGAGCAGGAAGAAACCCAAGGAAAAATTGTGTCAATATAAGTATAGTATAAAATATAGCTGTGAAGCAGTTTTTTTTTGATCAGGCTAAGGAGAAGGGTATATTCCATTGAGTGGTTAAAGTACAAGTTGCCTATAAAGTTTAGTATTTAGTTACTAGTGCTGTTAGTCAGTCATTACAGTAAATGCCTTAAATATGAACAATTGTTGTTTCATTCTTTCAGTTATTAAAAGAACTAAAAAAAATTTTTGAACTTTATCAGTCTGTACAGAATTTATAACAAAGTAATGTTAACTTTGCACAAATCTGGTCCCCTGCTGAGGCAAGCAGCCTCCTGGCAATGCATTTAGCTCTGGGTTGTACGATGCCATCAACATGATGAGCTGTCAACATAGTTTCAGCACTGCTGGCATTGCCGTAACCGGGTCATACGTCATGATCTGCATATTTGATTTTGAACCTTATTCAATATTTTTCCACAAAATATCTTATTTGAAACTAATTTGAATATTTTAATGTTTGCACATTGTTAATTCATCAGTTTAAATGCCCCCATCACTCCTTTGAGAGACCAATGGCCATTGTAATTATTTAGTACTAAATGCTTTCCTTCAGAAACATACCAAACATAATTATGTTGTTTGGAGTTTTCACAGTTGAAGTGAACCAATGTGAGGTCTCTTACAATTGCCTATTGCCTATTTCTATTCCTGTCAAAACTCTGGTGGCTTTTTAAATACGTTAATAAGCCTATTTTTAAAATTAGATTTTCTTTTTAAAGCAGGCACTGTTCGCGGCCGAGGTAGAGGGGCAGCTGGCAACAGAGCAGCAGGACCTCGAGGATCGTACCTGGGTGGATATTCTGCAGGCAGAGGTATTTACAGCAGATATCATGAAGGGAAGGCCAAGCAACAGGACAAAGCGTATGAACTGATACCCAGCTTAGATCTGGCTACAGTCAGTCCAGTCGCTATGAAACCTGGTGCAGGTTAGTAAAGGAAATGTTTTGCTAAACATTTGCCTTGACAACTAGGAAAAAAGAAAGAAGAAAAATATGAAGGCAAAGCTGATGTTTTAGAGTTCTCCTTGAAAACCTATAGGATCTTGAAATATTCCTGTAGGATGTATATAATTCCAATAAACAATGAGAAACTGGAAATTTTTGAGTTGCTGCTAAAGCCAGGTGGAGTTCTTAAATAAATATTTTACTTTTTTAAAACCACATTTACTCAGCTTTTTGCATGGTAATGAATAAGCCAATTTTTTTTGTAATAAAATTAGGAAACAGAAATGAAGGATACAGACTGATAGCATGTTTGCAATTTTAATGTTGGTGCAATTTGGAGTTGGACTGATGAACTCCAAAAACTTGGATCACCATCATTAATGTAGCGTTGTACCAAGTCGTGACAGTTGGAAGAAGTGGTCCAGTCCTGTTTAGCATTGTTTTTAACTCCTGCTGAAATCCTGCAGGAAGCACTAGCTGGCCAGAAGATTTTTGCTGTCAGAGAGCCATTGCCATGAACCCTAAAGAATGGTTCATGGCAGTCAAATGGCTAGGAATGGGGTTGGCTGGAGTGGGGCTGTAGGGGTAGGGAGTCCTGCTCCTCTTGGATCATAGGTAAACAAAATAAAATGAAACTAATGTAACTTTTTGAGCCTCGTTTGACCACTGCTTCACTGACCGCCAGAAGTACTGAGCAAGGAATTTCAGATTAAATTTGCAATACAACCTGATGATTCTGTTAGATATTAGTCTGTATGTTCAAAGAAGACACACGTTTCATTGGGAGAATGTCTATATTGGCTACTCTTATGAAGAGGTTAAAACTGCAAACTGCAGGAAAGCATGGCATCAGCAAGTTTAAGTCACAGTAGCCATTCTAATCAATGTACGTTACTCCAAATCCTGGTTGCACAGGCTGCATATTCCTATTTCAATCTAACTTGACTCTTTTTCATGTTTGTCTGTTTCCTTTCATTTTATAAAATATTAAACTGTATCATACTATTGGCAGACAGTACCTTAGCAACTTGCCCCATTTGATTTCACTTAGTTAGCCTTGACTAAAATCATTTCACTTTGGGTTAAAACAAAAATGTGTAACTGTAATCAACGTGAAGTAAACGATTAAAAATAATCCTGTGTAATCCTTTGAGAAACTACAGATTTTAATGATGGTGACAATTTACAAAGGCTGGGTGAAAATTAGATAGCAGTGAATCTAGATGTCAATGCAAAAGGGAATATAATGGGCAGCTGATCCAATTCAACCCCTACCCATTCTGAATTTAACCTCCAATGTTTGTAAAGTTTTTACTGATTTACCAGCCTGTTAAAAGTTTTGTATATGTATGTTTAAGAAACAAAGTTCTGGAGGAACTGTAGCTCTGCCAATGAATTCTGACAAGAGTCCTAACGGACTCTAA